TTTAGTACCCATCGAAGATTTGTTCTCAATAAATCAGATTTAAGTCAAAAGAAATTTCCGAATATATAGTTAGAAAGAGCATGAAATTCCCATTTTAGCTAACTACTTTTAATTCTCTCCTGCGACCTATGAGTGGATGAAAATCGAATAAAGATATTGTGCAAAGACTTCTTACACGTAGGTTAGATTGGTTTAAATGTTCGAAATTTTCGTATCGGTGATCGTGTTGGTGTTGATTGTGTGGTTGATTCATGTCTTCATTGTAATTCGTGTTAGAATATTTTATTTTTCTATATCTGCATTGTTAATCTTTGAAAAATGATTTTTCGGTAAGAAGAATCTTGAACAACATTGTCCGAACACAATTTCTACAAACAATAGTACTGAACTTCATAAAAGTAACATCAATATATGGTGGTAAATATCATTGTCAGAAAAAATTATTATTATTTCTATTATATTAATTGTAGGTTATTCAAATTTTATTACTATTAAAAAACATTTTGCAAGCAAAATATCTAAAAATTTACCATTAGATACAGTTACACCATTACTTTGTGCTAGTATTACAACTTATTCACCTCTAAAACAATATCATGTTGGTATAAATACACGCATGAGCTATATTAATTGATTGAATGTCAATTATTTATTAAAATCTATAAAATTTCTTCTAGAGTTATTAGTCTTGGTCATATGGCTGTTAAATTTGGTGTAGCTATGGGTGCACACGTTACTGTTATTTCAACATCAGAATCAAAATATGATGATGTCATAAAATTTTATGCTAAAGCATTTCTTGTTTCAAAAGATGTAGAACAATTAAAAGGAGTAGAAAATTCATTTAATTTTATTATTTATACTGTTGTTTCAATGATTAAGTTATTATCATTCAAGGAATTTATTACATGTATGTATCGGATTTTTTTTTTGTTAATTGACCTTTGAAAAATTGATATTATATTTAGAATCGGTGCACCACCAAAACTAGTGGAAATTCCAGCATTAATTCTTTTATTTAAACAACTAATAATTACTGGTAGTCAAATTGGTAGAATGAAACAGAAAAAAAAAATTAGTATAGCTTATTTATAAGACTCAAATTTATAAGTACAGCAA